CATTTATTTTTCAGTCTTCTTTTTGTCTCTGTGATTTAATTTACATTGTGATTTTTCTCTCTGTAATTTTAATTTTTATTATTGTGTCTTAATGTTTACTGATTTTTCATCTTTAGTGTCTAGTCTGCTATTAACCTCAGATGTATTATTTTTCATTTCAGTATACAATTTTTCATTTAAAGAAATTATTATTTGTTCTTTCTTATATGTTTACTTTATATCCAATTACATTAATGCTTTCCTCTTCTTCACTGAATATATTTCTAATAATTATAATGGATTTTTTAAATATTAGTTCATTCCTTCATCTTGGATATCTGAGTTATGGATCACATTTTCCTGCTTCTTCATATTTCAGATATTAATTGAATAGTGTATACTGTGAGTTTTACATTGTTGAGTGATGGTTTTTTCATATTCTTTAAGATTTGATACTTTGTTAAGTTACAGAACAGATTGATACTTCAGAGGCCTGTTTTAAAGCATCTTTAGGTCAAATACAGAGTTTCCTTTCCTCCAGGCATAGCTTAGCCCCACTACTTATGTGTGCCACACCTGTGTCCTCCACTGAGGGCTGGGTGTTTAACAAGGACTCTTCTTGGTTATTAAGAGCTCAAACATTCCCAGACCTCTTTTAAGCTTCAGATTTAGTTATCTAGCCATTCCATTTCTAGCCTTGTGGTATTGTACCCCATGATCATGTGGTTTAGAATTTAACAGATTCAAGGGATCCCTATGGAGATTTGTGGATGAAATGACAATGAAACCCTCCTTTCTAGTACTCTGTCCTAAAAATGTGGGCTATGTTATCTCAAGAATTCTGTTTGTCCCATAAATTTTGTAGGACCACCATGTTCTGCTTGGTACCCCTCTTCTTGTAACACAGCCTGTTAAGTGCCTATAGACAATAGGTCAGGACAGAACACCTTTCTTGTTTCTCTTTTCTTAGGGACTACAGTTCTGCACTGCATGTTGTACAGTATCCGAATACTGTTTATTTGAATATATTGTATATAGTAGGGGAATAAGTCCAGTCCTAATTACTCCAAAATGGCCAGGAATGGTACCACACACGCTCTTTATTAAACTGTTAAAATCATTTGGTTTTTTTTATGTTTAAAACCACTAATAATCAGAAGATTATTTCAGACATAAATGGAAAATTATGGTAAATACAGTACTAAGTACTATTCTTTATTTTCACAGGCACTGATGTTACTATTAGATAACAACTTCTAAGCTATATTATCAATAGAGGACAAAGAAAACAAAAGATGAATTCAAGTTTGATTATTACTGCTTCTTGATCTTTAAAGAAAAAAAATCCCCATAATGTTTCTTTTTGCTCTTTTTAGTAGGACCACTTTATCAAATCTGAGCTAACTCTTTAGGTACAGTCCTCTCTAACAACACTGACAAGAGTATTAAAATATTAAATAGACTTGTAATACTTATAAACTCCTAAAAGGTTTGTAATAACTCTTTAGATTTTCTCTTCCTTAATCTTCTATACTAATTGGTCATTCTGTCCAGTGCCTGGGATCACCATACAAATTTAGTTTATAGTAGCTTAAACACTTTAAATCAGATCTCAAAAATTTTAATTAATTTAAAATATTGATCTTTTCTAGCCCTATATCAGTGATTGAACTATGTCATCAACTTAATTATATTAAGACAGGTAGTATTTGTTTCCCAACTCCATGATCCTTTATCCATATATTAAAATTTCTATAAATCTTATATGGGTAAATAGGTACATGAGGGTCTCAAAACTCCTAAATACTTACTAGCAGAATTTAGCTCCTTAAAGAGAGCGATTATGAAGGCTTTTCTTCTTATTGGCTAATAAGTTTAATAAGAATTATTTTGAGGTTACCCACACATTCATATTCAGTGTGTCATATACAAGCCAGCAGATGGCAAACTTGAGATTTCTCTAATACTTTCGCTCTTGTTGAAGATGTATAATAAATATTGAATAGTTTTTTTGGTATACCATGGCATAAGAAAAATTAAACCGTTTAATTATGGAGCCACTGGTATTTGAATAGTAATGTACTTTATTTAGTTTTCCCTTGGTTTACTGTTTTATCTTTTATTTGAATAAATTCTTTCTTTAACAAATAGCTTTCAGAGATAGGGGTGCCAATTCAAACCCAGTTTTTGTTACAATTTCTCCATTTAAGAGTAGATTTTAGCTGTCGGTAAACTTTGGGGAAATATTTACATTACTTAAAAGGGCATGCAAAATATACTCTGTCATTCAGAACAGGTAATGAAATATTCTTTTGAAAGTTGTAACAACATTGATCCTCATATTTTAAAACACAAAATGGTAATTTTTTTCTGTGGATAATGATTGTTTTTATTTTATTTGCAGTATTTCTGTTTTAGTGTAACTGACTGGTAGTCATTTATAAGTGAAGATGGATTTAATTTTTTCCATGTACATTTGGTTTTCAAAAGTTCTGGATTTTGTGTCAATGATACAAGATCATTAAAAAATGTTTATTTTCAGATATATGATTAGGTTTTGGGGTATTTAAGTGAACATATTTCAAGCCATCACATTCAGAGATGAAAGTGCAACCATAATACATGATTTACTCAGTTCTTTCTGTGAAATTCATTTATTGTTAATACTACCTCTATGTACTCTACAAAATTAATCCTGTTTACTATACGTTACCCTCCTTCCTATATGCCTGCATTAACAATTTAGTTTAACAGTTGCTGTACTTCATTTTTCTTTTCCTAATAGGGAAGAATTTTTTTTAAAAAAAAAACAGTAACTAAAGACAAACCAAAGGTTTGGAAACATTGGTGCTTCATTATTTCTACATATACATCAGATCATTTAGATGACTTACACAATACTTAAATAAAATAAACTATGCATCATTAAAGCCAAAAAGTATTTGAAGGATTATAATGGTTGGCTGTTTGGTGGACTGAGTTTTCAAGAAGTGAAAAGTGAATCCACTAATTATTCAACATAAATGTTCTCCAAATACCACAATAACTAAAGACTCTTCAAAGCCTAATAACTTACAGTTCTTTCTTCCTTGCTTTTCTATTTTTAAGGGGAAGAGGACTCAAATGTTTTTAAATGTAGAATATAAATATAAGGAAAGTGAGTTATAGTGAAGAATTGAATTTAAACTATGAACAAGCCCTGAATCAAATTTAAGAAAACAAACTGGCACTGATGCTATAGCTTGTATATCACTCAACTTTAATGTTCTTAGCACTGGGGCTCTAGAAAGAGAAGCTTCTAATCAGAGAGGTGGCTGCACTGCACTAGTCTGCATATAGAGGTCAAGACACCTGGGTCTTGTGTAATGTGTCCTAACGAATCCTTTCTTCTATTTCCCTTCAGTCTGTCTCCAACTGGGGAGCTCAGTTTCTGAGAAAGATGACAGAAACCCCAAAACACCTTCCTATCCCTCCACTTCCAGGATCACCCTGATGGATTACCTTGTGATTTTTCATGTGATAAAATCAGGGATATGAAAACAGGGTCCGGACACAGCAATTCCCAAATTTATAGTCTCATGAGTATCAGATCACAACAAAAAATACCCAAGCCAAGGTTGACCCCTGCCCAAAGACGAAGGCAGACTCATAAACAGTTGTGCAATGTGCCAATTTTGTTTTAGTAATGCCCTTTCTAATGAAGTACTTAAATGTACACCTCTCTTGAATTTGAGTAAGAACACACGGTCCCAGTCGCTCTCAGTCTGAGGACGCTTCCGCAAACGTGCAGCCGTGCTAGGTGAGAACAAGGGTCCGCGGGCTGGGGAGCAACTGCAGCCACATCCTCACGGAAGTGCGGCCCCGGCCAAATGCGTCTCCCCCACCCAATCCTCCCCAGGAGTGAACCCAGAGGTGACAGGTCGTGGCAGCGGGAGTGGGCGCTTCTAAGGAGCAGGCTTGAGCCTAGCTTGTCTAGAGAAAGGCGTTCTTGGTGAGGGTCCTTCGTAGCTCTAGTGAATTTAGGAATCTGGCCTTTCTCCAGCAGCTGTGCTCTCTGCTTTTTTTTGCCCATGCGCCCCCACCCCACCCCACCCTGCGTACACACAGAAGAAAGTTTTACACAGAATGAGCCCCGCGTTGACGTAGCAGCACCTCCCCTCCCATCTGGATAGAAGCCCAGAAGGGAGTGAGTGGGGGAGAGGCGGAGGTAGGGACCGTGTGGATCGCTGTGGATCGCTGTGGTTAGGGTCCAGGGGCGGGGCTGATCCAGGGCCAGCCGGGAGTATTGGTTCTAGACGCACAAACAGATCCAGTTCTTCCCTCCTCCATCAACCTCTTAAATCCCAATGAGGTCACTGCGATGAGAGAGAATCACATCGGGAGAGAGGGGGAGGAAGTGGGCGACGACGAGGGGGAAGAAACCCGGACGGGAAAAGGCCATCAGACAAGGTCGCTTTTCCTGGCGACACAGCAACTGCAAAGAGCGTGGTGCTGAATATCATCCGCCGGCTCAGCCTGGGGACGGAGGGACTTGCAGAAGCACTTTGTGTTACCGCGAAAACAAAGGAGAGGAGACGACGAAGAGAAGGGGAGAGAAGCCCCGAGCAGTTCCTCTCTGGATCTCCGGGAAGCGAAGCTCCTCTCCTTGGCAAGGAAAGAAAGCGGAGCCGGAAAGGTCTGGGAGGCCAAGGAGGCAGCTGGGTTTCCCCGCGGACGCTTGGGACGCGGCAGGACTCTGGACAGCGCCTCGAGCCGGCTCCGAGCTCCCGGGTTCCCCAGGTTTCCGGCCCCTGCCTGAAGCCCTTCTGCCGGGGTGCTCGCCTCTCCTGGACTCCGACCGCCGAATCCGGGAAAATCCTTCCACGGTCCCCTTCTGAACGTGCCGAGGGGCGGAGCGGCTCCTTTGCCTTTGGTCCGGTCAGGGAAGTGGGTCCCCCGTTCTGGAAATCCAGTCCTTGTGGATAATGCTTCGCTGGTGAAGAAAGAAAAGTTTTGGGGTCTGGTAGGGGGCGGAAGGGGTAAGGAGGCTAGTGGAAGAAAGAAGGTGGATGGTTGGTTTCCCTCTTTGATCTGGAAGGAATGATGACCGAAGAAGGATGTGCACCAGCGGCCAGATTATTGGGAGCCTCCTGGTGCTCTCTGTGCTGGAGATAGGGCTGGGGGTGTCCAGCGTGGCCGTGGGGGCGGTCAGCTTCAGCCTGGCCCTCCGAGAGCACAAGCCGCAGCTCGGAGACTCGTCCCCGGTATGGAGCGGGGTGTGTGTACGTTGAGCCATTTCACTCTCTCTTTACCTCTTTGGTGACGGTCAGTGTGCGTGCGTTAGTCACTCCTTCCCTGGGGAACAAAATCATAAATCTCTTCTGGCGTGCATGTAGGTTCACGTTGGCAGGCTATGCCTCTTTATGTTGTCCTTTTATTTACTAGTTGTTTTTTGTTTTTTAACCTTGGCTTAAGACCAAATTAAATAGCTATGATTCAAGTTGGGAGGGGGTGGGAGGGTGCGAGGGTGGCAGTTTCCACTAGCTGCATCTGCAAAAAACTCCCCAGTGGTGCTCATGGAGGGGGTCACACCTGTCAAGGGCAGATTCACTTAGCCTTTTGTTTCTTTTATAATGAAAATCAAAATGAAAGTGTTAAATCATTTTCTTGTACCGGGAACAAACAAGGGGCTAGAGAGTCAGGCATTTGTGTCTGGCAGCAGTGCCCAAGGTACACGAGCAACACAGATAAGACAAAAAGAGAATTGTGCTGTGAGTGTGGAAAGAATATTTTATCCAAGAAAACACTGTTCTTAATTTTCCCTTGCTAGTTTTCTGGCACTCCACATCTAAAAACTCTTTTGTAAGTTCTAGGCATAAGTTAAACAACAGATGATATGATATGTAACAACATTCTAATTAGAGAATAACTCAGTTTAAAGAGTACCCAATGCTCAGAGAAAATTTTCTGTGTCAGATGACAGACCCAACAAATTTCTTATTTATTTACTTTGGGTGAAAACTCAGGGAAAGCCTTAGAGACCCATTTCTTCCACCAAGGATCATAGAATAACTCAGCACTATTCCTAGTATGGGCCTAATTACGAAAAATCAGTTGTTCTTTTCTTTTAAGTTATACAGCTGATATATCCTTCTGGGTATCTAGCTTGATTCTACTTTTTAAGATATTTAGTGGGGAGTCACTGATAATCAATAGGTGTAATTAACAGTCATAGCTTAGTTACATGTGCTTTAAGTCACTGAGAAAAAATACCATTAATGTGTTCAAGAAAAATGATTCCAAAGTAATTCATTTTGAGGGAAGTTCCAGCATTCTTACAACTGGTATAATTGTGCTTCGGAAAATTATATAGTTTTTATATTTAAATTTTTCAAGATGAGACAAATGCTTTTAAATTGAAGAAGTTAAAAATAAAAAGACGGTGTTCAATTCTAACAATTAATTCCTCCAAGAATCCTTGTTCTGAATTCAATGTTAATACCAGTCTCCAAATAAACTTTTCCTTTATTATGTAATTTCTCTTAGTATATATTTTAAATTTAAGTATGAAAACTTAAACCAAATCTTAAATTTGGTAATTTTACATCTTAAATGTGATAGTGATTATTTTGACAGTCGTAGCTTTTTATTACTATTATTAAAACAGAAATTGTCTGGCTTTAAAATTTCTCTTAGACAATTGTCAAAAATAAAACAATGTCCACATTTAAAGCAAGGGGAGGAAAATATGATCTTTTAATGGCTTATGAGGGAGAAACCTCAAATACTCTTCAAATCTCTTCCCCTCTCAAATTCAAGAAATTGAGTGAATAACTTATCTTTAAATGGTATTAAAGTATCCAGTTTATTTAAAAACTTTAAAAAAAACGGTTACATTTGCTTGGCATTAGAAGCAATTAAATTATTTTCTCTCTTCCCAAACTATTTACTGTTATCTCGATGAGTTGTCATCTGTATATGTACAGAAAATGACAACTTTGAACCAGCTCAGTGAAAAGCACATCAAACTGTTTACACACACACACACACACACACACACACACAGTCACTATCATAAAGAATTATTTTCATAACTAATTCTTTTAAGTAATCAAAATTCACCTAGGATTCTCAAAGAGTAGTTTTGAATTCTATTGTCTGATCCAGTAAAATAAAAAAATACATGTGTTGGAATGAATGGATTTGAAACTAGAATGTCCCAACAGTTGATCACTTTTATAAGCTCAAGTTAGAAGATCAAATTTGTGAAGAAATAAATATTCAGTCATGATCAATGTTTATCAAATTATAGGCTTGCTAGATTGATTTTTAAAAATATTTGTCAAAGATCATTTGTGATATAGTCCAAGTGATCTCTTAATTCTAACAGCGATAAATTCATATAACCAGTATTTACAAAGCATTTACCATGTGGAAGGCATTTTACTATGTAACACAAAGACTGTTACAATGAATCAGAATGCCTAGCAGAGGAAACAAAATGGGTACATCACTAATTCTATCAGTAGTGAGAAATATTAGATTTTTACCTCAGAGAGATACAGGACCAGATAAAGGGAAGAGAGGTTGGGTGGTCAATGAAATGTACATGGGAAAACTATTTTTCTCTTGATCTTGAAAGCTTATTGGGATTAGGAATGTATCATTGTTAAGTAAATGTATCACAGAGTAAAATCTGTAGTCCCCTGGGTGCAAATCTCAGGTCTGCCATTCACTATCTGGATGACTAGTCAGAGTTGCCTCATACTCTGTAAAATAGGGTTGTTAGAAGACACAAATGAAATAATTGTTTTAGTAAAAGGCATGGCATGCAGTAAGCACTGCATAAATTCAAGCATCTTATACTGGGTGCACAAACTGGTAAGGAAGGGCATGAGAAAACAAAGCCTTTCAGTTAATATGGATGAAGGGAAAAACCTCGGACAGAATAGGCTCTTCCTGGAGGAAGGGGAGAAAAGAATGGAAATAGTGCTTGGGGCCAGACCATGAGAGTTTGTGTGCCTATGACAATATTTTTTTCCTTATAGTTTTAATAGCAATTAATAATAATAATGCCAATTCTTACTTCCCAAAGAGACTCCAGAGAGATGCAGAGGAGCTAAATAAAAAATTATTAGTCTTTTTTGTATTTTATGAACTAAAAATCTGTATTATTTTTGAACACTAGATAGGATTTTATGATAACCTGTCAGGATAGCCATAGTCTATAATTAGAGTGTGTTTTGATTTGTGCCATGAAGATTTTTTCAACACATTAATATAATTATTACAAGACTTCTAAATTAAACTTTAGAAGTCAATGGAAATAAAATCTACTATGAAGGGATTACTTCGTATATATAGACCTTGACATGCTTTTTTTCTAGGTCAAGTATACTAAGAATTCAGGCAAGTATTCTAATTATTTGGACCCAAATGTACAGATTTTTAAAAATGTGACTTAAAAATAAAATAGTACCAAGACAAAGGTCTTAAAATCCATGAGTGAATACTCATACAGATTATTTCCAGTTGCTATGTCATAATCAGGCAAAGGGTGCTTTTTGTGATCAGTCTAAAAGATGTAGACAATAAGAAGGCAAGAATCACTTAACTAAAATTTCATAGCGAAAGATAACTCTTAAATGCCTTTTCAGGATTTTTGCTTCTTCTTGATTCTTTGTTATAGCTGATATAGTCACCTCATTGGAAGCATAAAATAAGACATTATGGTTAGATAGTAGTGAATGAACCATTGAGGGAATTGCTTTGGCAAAGACACAGTCATGTGAAATATAGTTGATGTGTAATATTTATTGACAGGAAGTTAAGTAGACAGGACTTTATTTCCAAGTTGCTGATGATAGGTGTTTTTCTCATTCTACACTGCATCATCTGTAATGGGAATGGATTATTTTAGTATTACACAGATGCACAGATTCAAGAGAATTTTGATTTCTTTTGTTGCTCTAGGTTGGCACTCAGAGATCTACAGATTCAGATGGTGGTGTCCAGAACAGTTGTATTTGATATGCACCATGCTAAATTCCATCCATCTATATCTAAAATAATTACATATGTTATAAATTAAATACATTAAAAGATTTTTCTAAGCCTCACTTATCCCATATATAAACAGTCTCTTAAAATATTCAAAATTTTCCTTATCTAAATCATATAAATTTTGAGTGATTTTTATTGCTTGTTTTTCTGGAGAAAACTTGATTGGTATGTCTTAACTTTTATTTGCTTAATATATCTGTTTAGATGAGTGGAATTCATAGCATAAGCTGGGCACATATCTGTTATGTGAACCTCTGATACGCCCTGGCAACTCAGCCAATTATAAGGGTGTGTTTAAATTCACCTACTATACATTCTGATCCACAAATTAACAACATAAATGCGATGCTGAATATAAATGATAGTTGTTCCAAAGTATTATTTTCAATATTTAAATATGTCCAATTCATTTAAGGAAAAACAAGCAAACAAAATGATAAAGTGAATGAAACCCCTCAATCAATTACTTCAAATAAATTGGAAGCTGACCAATTTGTATCATATCTCTGACCAGATAATGTATCATTTTTCTCCAGAGTCAAAATATATAACATAAGGGATTCATATTCTTTAGTATAAAACATTGCCCCTAACCTCATAAAAAGTTGAAATTTTGAAATTAGAGATTAATTTTAGCTATACAAGTAATTTATTCTTCATATTTATAAATGTATTATAAATATTTATAAATATAAATAAATAAAATTCTTATTTCAAGGGTTTAAAAAAAATATCAAAATTGACCACCATTGTAAATTTAGTGTGTGATCTCACAGATATTGCCTCAGACATATACAGTATTGTTTGATCATATGGACCAATTTTGATCAAGTTTCAGGACATAATAAAACCCATTCATGGACTCTATAGAGGCCAGGTAAAGAATCTCTTCCTTATCTGATTCATACTCTTATTCTCAAGTGCTACTTGTTATCTACTAAGGTTAGGGAGATTAGGTAATTGGCAATTAGGTAAATTAGCTAAGCTAAACTACTGGAAAATGTAGTTATTATCCAAGGAACCATACTGTGTATCAAAAGAAACATAAAATTTATTTCTGCTGTTGACTGATAATGGTAAAATGAAAGTAAAGTGGTGAGTTATGCCATTATCTAATAAGTTTTTTTGTTTTAGTCTATAGTTTATCCACATATAAGTGATGTGTTGGAATGTTTATCCAGAGCCCATGACAAAGTCTGCTTTGAGATTTTTAGTCCTT